TCGGTCACTTAACCTCTCTGTCTCGGTTCAGAGGAGCCCTGACGGCACCGCTCGGCACAGCGGGCGCCTGCAGTGCTGGGGCTGCAGCTCAGCCTCAGCTGCCTGCCACAGTCACTCACGTCCTTAAATGCATGAAGATAGCCATGACCAGCATGGAGTATAGCTGGGACATTCACGGACACTGTGTCTGGCTAAATAAGGTAAGGCTATCTGTGTTTGTTCTGGCTTTTACATTTCTGCAAGGGACAAGACATAGCTGGGCAACACTGGTGGGGAATAAGCTTTTCGTCTTTGTCTTGTATCAGATACCAGCTGAGCTGCTGTTGAAGAAACTGAATATTTTGAAACGGTTGCATCTTCCCTCTTCAACAGCTGTGTTATTTATATTTAGAAAATGTTTCAGGTAAACTCCTCAGAGTGAAAGTCTGTCTTAAGATGGTTTTCTTTCAGAATTCACTTTTATTGTAGTGAAGCTTTAAAATATAATGCAGAGGGGTTTTTGGGGTGGGTTTGCAGGTTTTTTTCCTCTGCTCGTGCTGTAAGGAGGAGCTAATCTGTAAACTTTAGGAGAAGCTTAGCAGCAGGTCTGTCTGCCTGCTGCCGGAGCATGTGGAGCAGCCTGCAAATACTCAGAGCCATGAGTAGGGGGGTGTGAAATGTAGATGCTGGTTTGGGAGGGCTGCGGTGGATTCCCACACAAACTGGTTAAATACTGGTATGGATTGTATTCAGATTTGACCAGTATGAATCTGGGATGGAGTCGATACTTACAGAGGGTAAAGCTCTGTATCGCTGGGGAAATGGTGGTGAATACTGTGCTTGGAAAACCTGGAGGCTCTGCCCGGGGCACACCAGGTGATGTTGAGGTAGCTGAGGCTGGAGGAGCCCCCTTGCAGGGGTATTGCTAGAACTGAGTGAACAAGCAGAACAGCAATAGCTGTGCTTAACTAAGCAGAAGGAATATGTATTATAATGATCTGAACAACGTAAGCATGTTGATGAGCTCTAATTTAACTCCAGATGGTCAGGAAAGAGATGTCATGGAAAGCTCACTTGCCCAACTGTTGGCTGGACCATGGTGGTCAAAACAGTCAGTGCAATCTGCTGTACAAGAAAATAATACTGTGGAGTGGCAGCTCCTTCTATACAAATAAAATTGCGTCTCCGGCAAGAACAGTGTGATTTGTGCTACTTATTTTGTCTCGAAAGCAGAAGAGAAAATGAAGGGAAATTAGGGTATCAGCTGCAGTAAGCTAAAAATTAGTTTTATTTTTGAAAGGAGAATTCAGCAATTGAAAGGAATTTTTTTTGTTCTTTGGTTGTTTTTTTATTAGGAGTTTTAAAACAGCAGCTATTAAAAACTTTACTGTGGTTTGGAATGCTAACTCACTTCCAGGGAAAAGAGATTAAAGACTGAGGGCAGGCAAGCTGTGAAAGTTTGGTGGTGCATCTACTTATTACAGGAATAATTCCCTCCAGAGCAGTGTGGATTTTTACACTTACATGATTGCAGACAAAGCTTATACACGTTTTTAACAGATTAGCCACGGATTGATCTTGCAGAGTTTTAAAGTGCACTGAGTCTGATCTTATAAGGCATTTTAAGTAAATGCTTAACCTTAAACTTCTGCGAAGCCTCAGTGGCATCATGACAAATGTTCTTTTGTTTTTAAGATTAAAATCGGTATTGGTAAATCTGCATTCTCTTCCCATACAGTGTTTTGCAGTTAATCCCTAAATTGAAAACACATGCAAAGTCTAACTCTTAATTGAAGATAGATTCATAAGTTGCTGGTGAAAAAGAGTGACCTTTGGAAAATGGCAAAGCTCATTTTACACAGCTATGTTAATCCTGTATCAACTTTGGTGATAGAATTTGACCCAGAACTACCAAGTGCCCCAAATACGCTGGCAGTTGCTGAATCAGATATTTACTTTTCTTTTTTCTTCTTTTATTTATTTTTTTTTTTTAACAGCGGAGCCATTGCTTTGCAGGGCGAGTAGTTGCCAGGCTCAGTCCCAGTGAAGGCTGCGGATCCTCAGGTGGAGAGAAACTCCTCCTGAAGTACACACTGAGTGTTGCTCACCTGGGTTTTGCACACACCAGGTCTCCTGGCATCTTTCAGACCTCCCTGCAGCCTGCTCCTGCCTGGTGGGGCTCCCTCCACCCCATCTCCTGATGCACTAGTTTCTCATATCCAGTGTTTGGGCTACTTCCCCCTCCATTTCTCTTCAGTCCTGCCCACTGCCATCATTACCCTATTATTCTTTACATGTGTTTCATCTCCTCTCTTCCTTCCTCATCTCTTTGGGAAGAAAATCATGTCAGGAATCAACTTCTTACCTTTGAAGACAGCGCAGAGGAGAGAGCAGGAAGGCATCGTGTGGCCAGTACCTGCTGGTCCCTCTGCACCACTGTAGGAGGTGCTGGGGCTGCTGCTCTGTGAAATAGTTGCCATGGCCTGTGTCATCCTTTCTCCAGCATCTTTTTCCCCACTGAAAACAAAGTCAGTTACTTTCTTGCCCTTTCATACCTAAAATGTAGAGTTAGTCCCATATGTTATGCAGAAGTTACAACGTTTCAGGGAAAAAGCAAACTACTGTTGGGTTGTATACAAAGTTTCCTGGTTTTGGTGTACTACGGGAGGTCTGTTTTTACACAGGTAATACAAAATATTTCTGGCAAAAGCCAGCAAAGACATCTTTGTATTTGGTTTTGTGGGAGAATAACCTTTACTCCAGTCCTCTTTGGGGTTCCCATCACCTCCTCCTTCTTTCTTATGGCAATGTGCAGCTACAGCCTGAACTGTCACTCTCTCAATTCTCCTGTTTTAAAGCCAAGTATGATGTGCCAAGTAAAACATTTTTTTGAGAAATGTGAACAGAGTTTAACAACAAAGGTGTCTTGGCAAGATGCTATGCACAATGACTAACATTCTGCTTTAACACCTCTTCGGTTTTCACAGCATCGTAAAGACATTTTCATCATAGCGTGAAGCCAGTACTTAACCTCCCTGCATTTTCTTCACACAGTCTTTGGTTTTAGTTAATTTGTGTCTGGTTACACTGACCAGAGGTATCAGGAGGTTCAGTGGTTAGGGCACTGAGGTGGTGGTTGGGAGGCAGGGAGCTGTGTCTGTGCTTTGACAAGGACTTTCATGTTTAGCCTCAACAGGATGGAGGGGTGTCTTTGCTTGTAATGGGGGATAAATATCACTTTCCTGCATCACACACACACTGGACTGATAAATGTGTTGTATATTACAAAATACATATACTGTTCTTACAGAGGCTGAGTAAGTGCCTGAGATGTACTGAAGGACTTTAAATGAGAAGGGAGCTACAGAATAGCAAAAGTATGCAAAAACCTCGGGTTTGTGTTTCACCTACAAGTCAAGTTGCGAAATTTAAAAGTGTAATCTGCTAGGTGAGCATTTAACAAGTTTATTTTGGAAACTCTTTGGCTTTTTTCACCTAAATTTAAAGCATTACAGAACTGAAGATCTCGCTGATCTTGAATGGAAATCCTATGGCATGAGCTAGACTCTGGTAGAGGTCAGGGGAAAAACAGGGCAAACTCAGAAGTTTAGATTACTTCTACCTTGGTGCTTTGTGTCTGGATGGTCAGAAGGACTACTAATTTACTGCTAAATAACTCGGATTCAGGGTATCATTAGGATATGAGATATTGGTACAAATTACTAGAGAGCATCCTTTCTTAGTCTGCTGTAGCTCTGGTGATTTCAGGGGAAGTATGATGGTCACCTTGTAAAAGTTATACATGTGTGCTTGGGAGACACATTTGCTACTGCACGCTGAGTTAAAAACTACCAGGACACAGCCTGATTTCCTGAGAGCACTAAGGTGAGGTCAAATACTTTTTACCCCCTCCTGTTTGCTTTGTGTCTAGTCTTGTGCTGGTGGGAGTTCTATTCTTTCAGTTTCAAATGAAGCAGTTTCTCCCACCACCCAAGGTCAGACATGTAATTTAGAAGAGAAGTTTAGAAAAGAAGGAAACCAGCAGGTTTCCTGAGGCATCCTCTGCAATCAGGGGGGATGAGCTGGTGAAAGGGAGATTCAAAGCAGGAGCCCAAGGCTTGCAGCTCCTAAGTGGTGGTGGCCTCTCAAAGCAGGGTTGTGCTGCAGTCTCACCGGGGCATGAGGATCAGTCGCCTGGTTTCTTTTCATCAGATATTCAGAAAGAAATCAAGGCCCCTCAGCATCAGTGGGAGTCTCTGCTGAGCACGCTGGATTTCAGAGCAGCTTCTCAGACTCCTCCAAGCAATTTATGCAGTGATGGGAACAAGAATTTCTTTTTTGAGCTGAGATCTGATTGTGGCATCCATCACAAAGTGCTTTGAGACAGCTTTGAATATGGGTAGAGTAAAATCTTTCTCACCGTTCAAGAGCATTGAAGTTATTATGAAGAAAGTTGCTGATTCTCTGAACTCTGATAGCATTAACATGTATTCTTGTTTCTCTTTAGCCTCAGGCAGCTTTGCAAAGAGATGTGTTTAGAGTGCAGACATTCACCCATACCCAGTAAAATGTGCCTGATATAAAAGGATGTCTCTTACTATGTGTTTTAGAAAAAATTGTTTGTCTTGCAAGAAGCGTAATGCACATCTTGTAGATTGTATGCTGATTTTTTTTCACTTGGTGAATGTCTCAGGGTATTTGTCTCTTTGCAAGTATGGCTTAGCATGGTACATCACTGAGCACAAATTTTGTTAACAAAATGCTGAATGTGCAGTAAGTGAATTTTTCAGAATTAGGTCACCAGAAGGTTCTTCCTTTCTCGTCTTTAAGTCACTGAACAATTCTTGTCCTGAATCGTGGTTGTGTATCCTTTCTTTGATTTTGTAACCTTTTGGGGCTGGAGAATACTTTAAATCTGTTCTTGAACTGTGCAGCTAAAAATACTCTTTAAGTGTGTTAATAACATTGACTGACACTTACGGTACAATAGCTGACTGTGCAATATTTGCCGTCTTTTTCAGACTAATGGACACATATCTGGGAATGGAGATGTGTATCAAGAAAGGCTGGCTCGTCTGGAAAATGATAAGGAATCTCTTGTTCTGCAAGTGAGTAGTCACCTAAATTATTTTTTTCTACTTTTACATTCATAAGACTTTTTGATAGTATGTGATAAAACCACTGAGGATTTATTTGCAGTTATGCTGTCTTGGACAGCGTTCAGAAGGCTTGCTGATACCTCAGAGTTAACCCAGATCAAGGACAGGTATGAATTTAGACTGCAGGAAGAATCCAAAGGCCTTTCTTTCTGTGTATCTGATCTCTTTTTGAATCTTGTTAGCTGAGCAGGTCTGCAGACCGACCACCTTCTTAGTTCATGTGTATCCTTAAGATCACCGTTTTGCATGACCATTCACATGCTGTCTGCGTCAGGTAACAGATGTCCTGTCCTCATGAAAGGTCACAAAAGCTGTGGGACTGGTCAACGAGCGAAAGGGGACAAGCAGCTCCTCAAAGGTCCTGCTCACCTGCTGCTGGGCTGGACTGGGTCAGCCCAGGGTGCGCTTGCCAGCTGGCTTGTTCTTGCTGCCAGATTTGGAACTACCTGGCACCCCTTGGTCTGTACAGGCATCCTGCTATATACCCTGATGCAGACCTGGCCTAGGGGTTGTCACAATGCTGAGCGCTGCTCTTAAGCAACTTGCCCTCATTCCCAGCAGTACTACACATTTCCTTGAAAGAGCCTGTTTAAAACAAAAACTTCATTCAGAAAAGGCAAAATGGGAATTGGTCTACGGTGTCAAAGGTGTTGTCTTGGTCTCATGTAGCCTCGGCTCGTGTGTTTTAACCTCCTTTGCTTTTATTGTTCTGAAAAGAAGAAGCTGTATGCTATGGTACATTGTGTGCAATCACTTGGAAAGGAGAATGAATTATATGCAGTGAGGTTTAGCTATGTGGTTGTTAAGGTGGGAGCTAGTGGGTTTTAGTTAATGTATTGTCACAGCAAAGGTATGGCTATAAAATGTAGCAGACACCCCTTGTGAAAATTTTCAGGACAAGTTGGGAGGGCAGGTGCAGAATTGCAGTGTGTCCATCAGAACTTTGGCTGAAGTCCCAGTAAGCATGAGAGGAGACCTTTTCCTCCTCTCCTGTCACCTTTGCCACGTGTTGTGTCCACTGCAGAGCTCTGCTACTCCTCCTTCCCCCCTGTATGGTCGTATTGACTCTTTGGCCCATCCATCACTGTTACTCACATACAGTTCTTCAGGTGACACATACGGCATGGGTGCAAGGTACTAAATGTGCATCCCTTTTTCTCCACTGTGCAGGTAAGTGTGCTTACAGACCAGGTGGAGGCCCAGGGAGAAAAGATTCGAGATCTGGAGTTCTGTCTAGAGGAGCACCGGGAGAAGCTGAATGCCACGGAAGAGATGCTGCAGCAGGTATTTCACAGCCCTGTGTCTATCTTGCTCTCTGTCTTCATTCTGTCTTAACGAATTACATTTTGCTTCAGTGCGAGCATTGCACTTCAAGGTGTTGCACCACTTGATGTCTCTTAACTGGGTGGTAGTTTTCTACCATATTTGCTTTAAAGTCTTTGTGCTTACTAATGTCAGTGCTGCTTTACACTGTGGGAATGCAGTTCTGCTCTTTTTTGAGCCTTTCCCCACTGAACTTGAAAGAGACTTGGATAAAAGCCTCTGGCAGGATGGGTGGATTCCTCTCAAAGCTCCTTGCTGCCCAGAGCAACTGTGATGACAGACAAGCTTTTTTTTCCTCATCCTAGCAGCCAACCTGTCATAATGCTCCCATGATCTCAGATGCATCCTAGGTGCCTGGAGTCTGTCAGATGGGTAAATAGCTCTATCTCAGGGCTTCGAATAGCACAAGGAAGAGAGTGATGCTTTTCCTCATGAAAACAGCCTTTACCTGTAGAAATAAATTACTGATTTCTTCCTCTTGGGTGAATAATTCTGTACTTTTCCTCTTTATCTTGAATCAGGAGCTTTTAAGCAGAACATCCCTTGAAACTCAAAAGCTGGATCTTATGGCAGAGATTTCCACTCTGAAGTTAAAGCTTACATCTGTAGAGAAGGATAGATTGGACTTTGAGGACAGGTTCAGAGACACAGAGGTGAGTACAACCCAACTGAATAAATTGTGAAAGCTGTGTGTGGCTTCACATTACCTGAAAATTTCCAGAGAATTTTATTTATTTCTTTATCTATTTATTTATTTTTCCAGGCAAGAAGGGAACTCATCTTTAAGGTTAAAACTTGTATCTCTTAAAATAAAAAGTGTCCTCTTTGGTAAACTCTGGTTTTATAAAAAAAGAAAGATTTCCAAAACCAGTTTTTGATTCTTGCCATCAGATCTCAGGAGAGATAGTATTTAGGATCGATTTAAATACAGTCATGAACACACTGCTCTCTCCTGTCCCAACTTGAAACTGTTGTGTTCTTAGTAAGGTCTGTCTGAGGCAAGCGCTTAAACCCACTGCAGATATGAAAAGCATGTGCATGCAAAGACACAGCACGCTAAAAGACATAACTTTTGGTTTTGATAACAGAGAGAATGAAGTGACTCAGTGTCAGGGCATTTTGAAGCCTCACTTCAAACCCCAGCCTTACAGAAGCCCAGGACTGAGAGGCCAGCAGACACTCATCTCAGCTGTCTCCAAGCCCAGTGGTGTGCAGTGCCAGGCGGAGCTGCCACCTCTGGCAGCGCTCTCCTGAGGCATTTGCCCTCTGTGCACCACAGATCTGTGTAGCTGAACCTTGCTCGTGTTTTAAGCCAGAAAGCCTCAAAGCAAGTGGGCATATGCAATTTTTCCTGGAAACTCAAAAGTCAGACTGAGCTTTGCTGCCAGGGTGACGTACCCAATATCAGAAATACCTTGGAGTCTGCCTAGGAAGCAGAACAAAATTTCCAATTCTGGGTTCATAAACGAGCTGAAATGTCAGAAGTTTGTATTGTGGATGTTCCAGATGTCATTCATTTCTAGAAGGAAAGAAGATATAATGTCGTCACAGGAGACAAAATTTGCCCTTTCCACTTCAATCACTGTGATTTACCAATTCCCTTCCAGTTTCCTACATATTTTCCAGAGAAGAGTTGTTCCTCACTTGTGTTGCAAATATAACAGCAAAAGTGAGCCTTGCTTTTGAATTACTTTCTTTGGACCTTTCTGAAGTAATCCACAGACCCAAAGGAGTCCACAGGTTGAAAACTAATGACTTGAATCATGTTCAGATTTGAAAGGTGGTGATGATTTACATAGCAATAGCAGCGTCCCTTCCTGCAGCGTAGCATATCCGGGTGTAGCCAAGCTGTGGGTTGGATTCATGTTGCCTCCCATTACCTTCTCCTCTAGTTTGGAGGAACTCCTCTGCTAGAGTAACACCAGGTGTTATGTGAAGGATCACAGCATTGCCTTAAAAGCAGCTGATTTTGCAGTTCGTGCAAGTACTGTGCACGGCAATGCTAGAGAAATTGGCAGGGGGAAAAGCGGAGGGAATCGTTGAAGAACTTCTGATCCACAGGAGATGTGTTTGAGCTGGCTGCTTTCACAGCTCCCGTGAGGTCTCTCTGCCCACACAATGCTCAGCTCTTTCATGAATTACAGTGTACAGCAAATAACTCTCCTCACCTATCATAAGCAGCCCAAATGATAAATGAGTTGACATCAGCAATAAATGGCTTTGGGGAGGCAAGGTTTGGTCCAAATAATTGCAAGGAGCAGGTGCTTTCAGAACTGGATTCCACCACATCTCCATTTATAAATACCCTGTGGTTTCTTGTGCTTTCCAAAACAGGTAACAAAAGTGATTAGGCTTTGAGTGATTCCTCTCTTTCTATCTTTATTTTTATTGAATGTGATTCATTGCTGAGCTTTCCTGTACTCCCCTTCCTTTGTTTTTCCCCCTGAACTGCAGTCTCTCCATAACTTAATAGCATAACTCAGCATACCAAGAAGGCAGACATGGAGCTACCTCTCTTCCCAGAAAAGTGGTTACAGCGTGGGGACCCTAACATGCACTGCAGCTCTGTAGGCTCTGTGGAAGCAGCTTACCTGCATGGCAGCTCTGAAGACCTTTTTCTTTGAAATACCTTGAAATTCGCTCAGTGTCTTTGATAAAAATAAGATAACCAAAATTACATTTTAAAGGTAATTACCATAATTAGGGGCTATATAAATTTGTATCCTGGATATTTATGCCAGAACTAATGAACTGTTACTAAAATGTTACTCCCTCCCTTTGAAAAACAGAATCATGTAGTTTAGTGTTTTAGAAATTATGTTGTTTCTTCTTTGTTTCAACACTTTATAGCTGTGAAAAGGCTTAGGCTTAGACACTGAAAGGGATATTGTGTCTTAATTTCCATTTTGTTCAGTGGAAAAATTAATGGCTAATTAGTTTTAAGGGTCTCGGCCATACAAAATCTCTAACAGGCATTCTGGAGGCAGTATTTATTCAGAAGTACATGATATTTTACTCAGTGTTGATCTAATTATATTCCTACTTAAAGTAGTAGATGATCAATTATTTCAGCAGAGCTGAGTATTTAAATTGATATTTAAAATGTTCTACTGTAAAACACATCATGATGTTTACATGCAGTGTTAAAAATTGAAGAAATTTCATACCCAAACTGGGAAAGGAAAACTATGAATATTGCTTCTGTTTTTATTTAGGAAAAAGAAAGTGAAAAGAGAAAATAAACAACATTGACATCTTAAAACAACTTTTGTGGAGCTACTGTCTCCTACAGAATTACCATTCAGATTAAATCCTTCATATTATCCAGTTTTGACTTGTGTCTGTCATTGCACCTTCCCATTCCAGCTTGGTAGGTTTCTCATATTCACCATTCATTCTCTAAACAGATGCTTCACTAGATCTGTAAGCTTTTTTTCCTTTGTGCTCTAGGACTTTATTGTCTAGGGGTTCATAAATACACAGCTTTTCCAAAGCTAATTGTATACTTAATAGAGATTTATAATTGTTCTGTTCTTTAAACCATTCCAGTCTTTCCACTTTCTCAGCAGACACCAGTATTATTTTCCTTAAGGAGCATGGGTGGTCTGAGTAATATCGTACAAGGGAGTTTATTTAGGGAGGAGTCCATATCCAGACATGGTCTTCGAAGCCACAGCCAGAGGGCAAACTGGCTCACTCATGGGGAATTCTTCATAATTTAAACACCACCAGTTTCCTTTGTGCAGATGAATTTCTGAGTGGAGCAAAATGACGAATATGGTTTGTGTTTCCAGTGCCAGTAAGGAAGCCTCTGACCCCTGAAGCTTAAAGTTATCATTGCTTTTTTGTGCCTCTCTGTCCCCGCTATGAAGAGCACAAGTAACATGAGCAGGGAAGGAAAAGCCTTTGACCAATTAGAGTCTGCATGTCCCACCCTATCAGCTCCATTCATGGATCCATGCAAGGAACAGGTCTTGGATGTTTGCATGGAGAGACCTGACTGTGGATCAGAAGAGGACCATTTCATGGCTCTTTCCGGTTTTGCAGGTTTTTAAGACAGGAACATGCATTACACCCAGGGCAGGTATTTTAACCCATTTATGGGTGCCCAAAGAGGAGGTATTAAGTGCAAACAAAGCAGGTGCCATACACTGGCCACCATGTGGGTGACTTTTACTGCTGATTCATCTAAGTCAGCCAGGGAACTCCATGGGTTTTTGGTCTGGTCTAGGATCCTGATGAACCTGCACAACACCCTGAGTGCCACGGGGACATACACATCTCAAGCATCACACTGGTCCCAAAAGCTCTTTGGGTCATAAGAGGTTACAATGGTGGACACCTTCAGGTTTCAGACAATGCTGTCATCTCTTTGCTGGGACTACTGCAGGAGCGGGCAGGGCGTAGTCCTTGCTGTGAAAGGTTTGTAGTCAAAATCAGTTGAACAGAGAATAGTGGAAGAAAAGGGTAAATGTTTCAGGGCAGCAAGCAAGAAAGTGAAACACCCTGGGAGGATTAGGATTTCTTAGGGAACCTCAGTGCCTTTGACAATCTCTGCGTCTGCTAAGCTTGCCCGGAGTTAAATAGCAGTTCAGTAACGGGGGAGATAGCCCTGTTTGGGCCTTTTCTTTTTCTTCTGCTCATTTAGGCAAGGTTTGGCCATGTCTTTTGTACTAAGGAGGGCCTGCATATGGAACCTGGTGACCCTTTAAGGTACTCCTCTGCCTCAAAAAAGAAGAGGATGAATGTCATTTACAGTTACTGTGTTGCAAATAACTTAAGACATGAGTTAATGTTGTGCTTGCAAGGGAGTAATTGAAAATATTTTTGGGGCAAAGCATGCTGTTAGGGCTTATCTTTGTTTCTATTTAACCCTTGAGAAATTTTACAGTATTTTTGGTGACCAGTTACCAGTGGTAAAGGATCCAATTACCTGTGAGGCCTGTAACACATTAAGCAGAAGAATTTAGTTTCTGCTCCAAGATCTTACACTCTTGGGTTCTGGTTGCAAGATTGCTCTGTTTTCTGTGACATTGTGAGTGCATCTTGACACTACTCCAAGTCAATATTCTTCATGAAAGGAGAAGACTTTTGGTTTGTTACTCATTTTGCCTGATAGGGGTATTTTGAACATGGATAACTGTTGTGGTTTAACCCTGGCCAGCAAATAAGCACCACACAGCTGCTCACTCACTCCCCACTAGCGGGATGGGGGAGAGAACTGAAAGGGTAAAAGTGAAAAAACTCATGGGTTGTGATGATGACAGTTTAACAGATAAAGCAAAAGCCATGTGTGCAGGCACAGCAAAACAAGGAATTCACTCACTGCTTCCCATGGGCAGGCAGGTGTTCAGCCATCTCCAGGACAGCAGGGCTCCATCACACGTAACAGTTGCTCAGGAAGGCAAACAACATCACTCCAAATGTCCCCTCTTCCTTTTTCTTCCCCGTGATTTATATGCTGAGCATGACACCATATGGTATGGAGCATCCCTTTGGTCAGTTGGGGTCAGCTGTCCCAGCTCTGTCCCCTCCCAGCTTCTTGTGCACCCTCAGCCTCCTCACTGGTGGGGTGGGGTGAGGAGCTGACAGGTCCTTGACTGTGTGTGAGCCCTGCTCAGCAACAACTAAAACATCCCTGTGCTATCAACACTGTTTTCAGCACAAACCCAAAACATAGCCCCACACTAGCTACTAGGAAGGAA